GGATAGGCGGAAGAAAATGGATGGATGGATGGATGGATATTAGACCAGTCCAAAAAATTAAAAAAAAAAAAGATTAAATTTAAATGGCCTAATCCTCCTGCTGGCCTTGGGTCAAAACAACCCATAAGGCCTCAGTTTTAAATTAGAGGCTCTGTGAGTCATTTTGAGGCAAGAACAGCAGCAGGGTTAACAMATGACATGATATGTGGTGAAGGCGATGAAAAGGACTTGATGTGGTCGTTTTGAAGCTTCCTTTGTACATTTCTGTRATGTTGTCATAAAAAAGACCAAAATGTATCAATCCATTTGTAATAAAAAACAAACAAAGCAAAAACAACAACAACAAACAATAAATAAACATGAAATTTAGCTCAAGGTGTGTGATTTTCTTTTTTTGRCATTTTTGTTTTGTCTACAAAAATCTTTATCTTTCGGATGATAAAAATAAATAAACGATGACACTAATTGTTTATTTCAACCTTTTTATTTTAAGCCTCATTAAGCAGCCGAGTCTGTCGTCTGTCTGTTTTTGTAAATACAATAACAGGTCGTGACTAATGGCTGTTATTGTTGTAATGAAACACTGTAAACTGTTAACCAGTCGAGTCAGATTCTTGTCAGTCAACCATTCATCCACATATTGTAATAACTGCAACAACACTGATCTCGTTTTGTCTTCCGCCTCGTCTAACTGTCCTACAGAGCTGCTGTCCATTCAGGTGGTCGTCCCAGAGACGGAGAGGAGAACGATGCTGTTCTCCTCGGTGATCATACGCTGCGACTACTCGACTTCGGCGAACGCTCTGGATGTTCTTGTCACCTGGAGGTTCAAGTCCTTRTGCAAAGACCCGGTTCTAGAGTACTACTCCACAGGTGAAGGAGGAGAGGGCAAAACAAACTGTTTTAAGTGTTTAACCAGCGTTGGTTTCAGGGGAGGAGGATTCATTTGTGCTGGCTTCAGGCAAACAAAACCGTTTGAATTAGCAGTTAAATAGTTCAGATTAAACATGCTGCACTGATTTATATTTCCTGTTATTATTCGTGTTGGAGAGACTCAGTTTTCATGTTGCTTTTAAAAGCAAACACAGGAAGTGACTGTGTTAATAATGACAACTCTGCTAGTTTCAGTAAGCTCTCTTTAGTAATTAAACCTGGACTGTCCAGGTAGAGTCTGTCTATCACTGTACTGATGTAAGATTAGTAGAATATTGCAGTAKATTAGGAAAAATATAATAAACTTACTATTTTGAAGCATCATGTGCATTTATTGTTTGATATTTATTTTGTATACATTTAATTCTCTGCTGACTGGTTAGTTTTAATTTATAAGCAGCAAATATATAAAGCAGTACCAGAGGATTATAGTAACTAAGTACATTTACTTCGTTACAGTATTTAAGTAGTTTTTTGAGGATTTGTAATTTTACCAATTCTTTTTTCAAACAGCTACTTTTACTTTTACATTGTTACATTTTAAAGCTAAAAATTACATTTTTACTTCTTTACTTTAAAATTTAACACCTACTTGTTACAAAATCAAATATGTTTAAACTCATCATGAAAGAAGATGTTTCTGCACTCTAAAAAATGAGGTGTAGAATTTACTCAACAAGTCAACTGGCTCCACTGAGCCTAGTCGAGTAAATTGAGCAAAAAAAATAAACATTTATCGTTCAATTTACTCAACCTGGCTTAGTGGAACCAGTTTGGTTCAGTAAATTCAACAGTTTATTTCTTAGAGAGTGTGTAAATGTGCTTTTACTTTCCCAATTTTTGTGAACAGTTTTATGACTTTTACTTGAGTAGTTTTCTCATCAGTAAAATTTATTTTTATTAGTCGTTTTCTGTTCTCTGACTTCTAGATCTCTGAGCAGTACTGACACAACTAAAATCTTTTTTTTGTTTGTTTTTTTTTTTTTGTTTCTGAAGCTTATCAGGCAGCCCTGCAGCTCGGTCAGGATCCTACCAACGACTGCCCGGACCGCCAGCGCACGGTTCGCACTGTCATCCAGAAGAGGGGCATCAGCGAGCCCATGCTGGGTGCAGAGTACAGAAATCGCAAAATAACCATCCAGAACAGTAAGCTTGAGCCCAACAGACTGAAATATATCCCCAAAATACTTTATTTGTGTTTAACCAACATAGTTTAACTCACAGCACAGGAGGTCAAACGAATACAGAATACATCATTTTTATTAGCACTTAATGGAGTTTGTAACTGGAGTTGCAAAGATGGAAACATGTTCGCTGATGAGCTGTTTTCTGTCAACAGAGGCTGATTTAGTCATAAATGAGGTGATGTGGTGGGACAACGGCATGTATTACTGCAGCATCGATGCTGCCGGGGACACGACGGGTGACTCGGATCGTGAAATCAGACTCATTGTGTTTCGTAAGTTTCGTCTTGTTAGATGTTGCCTCCATGCTGGAAACACAGATTGTGAGGTCGAAACATGTTGTGGTGTCTTCCTGTTTTCCTGCTGAAGACTGGCTGACCGTCCTGCTGATTATCATCGGTTTTCTCCTCCTCATCATGGTGTTCTGCATATGTTGCTGCCAGTGCTGCCCACAGAAGTGCTGCTGCTACATCCGCTGCCCGTGTTGTCCTCAGACCTGCTGCTGTCCAGAGAAAGGTACAGGAAATGTTTACATCCACTTACCACAAGGCTGCATAGGCAAAAAAATAAAAGTAAAAAATTCTGAGGTAGAAAAGGAATTTTAACCCCTAACTTTAGAGAGGCAGAGAGAGACTTCAAGTCAGCTCAGTCTGGGACTGACTCGTGTTGGCTCCCTGGATCAGGAGCTCCAGCAGCCTCGGCTGAGCTGTCCGCCTCACACCACACCAGCACCGGACAGAGGAGGTGGAGCGCTCCGACAGCCTGACAGAAAAAAACAAAAGCATACAGCTGCAGCTGCTCACAAGATCGCTAGTTTAAATCAGGAATAAAAGTGTTGGGTCTTGTTTGACTGAAGTTTGGTCCGTTAGGGCTGCAGCTGCCCTGCTGTGTTTCTGCCTTTTTTCCCTCCTCCCCTCCCGTTCTGCAGGACGTACTGCTG